GTGTGTGTGTGTGTGTGTGTGTGTGTGTGTGTGTGCGGATATGTAATGCACATGCATGTGGGTGCTGTTGTGGGTGTGTCCTTGGGAGAGCAGATGGGAAGGCTTATATACATATTCTACATGTCAAAGTACTTTGAATTTGTTGATACGGTACGCAGTTGTTTCAGTGGCCTGGTGCCTCACTTCCTTCTTGTTCCCTGGCCATCCAGTCAAGCTGCTTCCAGATAGAAACAAAGGTTGAATGCTCTTTTTTGTTTTGTTGTAAAAATCTCCGTGGCCCCTTATACTCTGGGGGGGCATCAGTAAAGGCTGAAGCCGCTGAATCCTCTCAGTGAATATTCTTTTTCTTTTTTTCTTTTTTTTTTCTTTTTTTTTCTTTTTTTTTCTTTTTTTTTTCTTTTTTCTTTTCTTTTTTTTTTAATGGAAAGGTTCAGGGTGTAGTAGAGGGTGGTGGCCAGGCCTCACGAGGTGCCTGCAGTACTCATCAATTGGGAGGTCAGATGGATTCCGAGGAGCCAGAGGGAGTCACCTCAAGATATGGCACCATGGTACCATGAGCTATGCTAATGCTCAGATCGCAAGTCGTGGGAGGTCGGATGGATTGCCAGGACTCATGGGGAGTCACCTCAAGATGGCACCATGGTACCATGACCTATGCTAATGCTCAGATCGCAAGTATCTGCACTAACGCTTACCGGATTAACCCGGAACGTCTTCGTGCAGACACTACCCCAACTCTAATGTTAAGGACGGCCCGGGCACAGGTGGGGTCGATGCATATGCAGTCGTCCCCATCTGTGCCTCATCCCGCAGACTCTATGGGCAGCGAACCGCCCTTCCACTAATATGCGATATCCCGCCCTCCCCTATCCTAAGCATGATGCCTTCCTACCCAAAGGCTCCCCAAAAATCCACAGTCCCGACTAATTCCCCCAATGAGAATTCCCGCAGACCCCAACCTGGATGAAGCACCGCCCGCAGACATCGTGAGATACCTGTGGGATGAGAAGTACCCAGTACCTGCCCCATACTAACATCCAGTGTGTGCGTAGCACTATCCCCCACCAGATGGGCCCTACCGTAGCCTAAGTTCGCTCTGTGTGGACTCTCGTATGGGTTCTAGTGACGGGAAACATACTGGCCGTATCCAGGCTCAACCATCGCACCCCCACCGACTAGCACATACTGACGAGACTGACAGATCGGACTCAAATCGGACATAGACTGATTCAGCACCTCTGTGTGAGCTGCTAGATGATTCTGTGTGAGCTCACACAGAGGTGCTGAATCATCTAGCTGTCTCATCTGGCAGAGCGGAA